GTATTGGACATCTGGCAACAACTCGTGTCTTCTGCACCCCCAAATGTGGCAGTTGATCAAGCATCGGTATCCATCGTGTTGGACAGCTGCGGACATAATGGATACATGCACCGTGCACCTTCCATTTGGAACTGGCTCAAGCGTACAGGATTCGAACTGAATACAAACAATTACAATTCTTATATCGAGTGCCTTTGCCGTATACCTGGAAGAGTAGGATGGGATCGTGCGCTTAGCCTGATGAAGGAGGACATGCGCGCTCCTGGAGATGAGATATCCGATAAACCTTTGATAGAAGAAAAAACATTCAATACCCTAATCAGTTTTGCAAAGAAGAAGCAATTTGAAGAAGCAGAAATCAAGAAATTAGAAGCCTGGAAAGAACAATGCATAAAATAAAAAGTTGTACTCCATTAGATTATACACATAAAAAATCTTTGCCTTCTTTTTTTTTTTGCTATTATCTGGAGTTATTATTATTATCTTTACCTCTTTGAAGGTGAGAGGAAAAAAAAATGCCTTTTTGCACCTGTCAAGAACAAAAACACAAATTAAAAAGAACCATAATACAAGTAAAGTTTCAAGAGGGCTAAAAATACTACTACCAAAAGAAAAAGAATGTCTAGAAACAACAGTGCACTTGAACCTTTATCATTAATTGTATGGCACTTATAAAATATGGGTATGGGGTATTTTTATATAAGCATGAAGATTAAGAACTGGCTAATCTCCCTTGGTCCTCTTTTAATACATTCTAATTCAGTTTATTATCAACGATAAAGCACATTTTTCTCTAACACCGTAGCTCCATTCCCAAAGTTCGCTTTCCAGCAAACTAGATTCGCCTTGGTTTCCGACCAAAATTCGTTTCCTGAAAGTCCAATGTTCGCTTTTTTATTGGTCAAAGCTCGTTTTGATAACAGCTCAATTTTCGCATCTATACATTATCTAGAGATCGCTCTTGTTGCCAACAAAGTTCGTCAAGGTCAAAGGCATCCAACTTTGTTATGTTTGACATATTTTTGAATATGTTGCGTCCCTGCATTCCCGATTTTTTCTTCTGTTAAGCAGTGTTTTTTTTTTTTTTTTTTAAAAAAAAAAAAAGACTGTTTACAAATCTGTTGTACTATACGAATCAGTCTTTCGTAAAAGATAAAAGTACAATTTCCAACAGTATACGCATCATCTTATTCTTTGTAAATACAGGTGCTTTAAATTGTATATCGTGCCCACCTTAGGTAGAATTGTGTGGTTAGTGTAATAGCAATATAAAGGGGATATATATAAATAAAACTAGTAATTAAACAATGTTTGTACATAGTTGAAGGTTGCATCGGCTAATTTCTTGTTGGCTACGAAAAGCGGTGCCAAAGAGCTCACTCCTTTTTGTTCCGACAATGCTTGAAGAGTATCCGTATTTTCACTGCCTTTAATCAACTCCTTGATATTTTTAATGATTTCATTCAATTTCTTATCAGTTGGCTCCATAGCAAAGTATTGATTGATATCTTTAATCTTTTTCAATCCGTTACAGCACTCGAAAACAAATGAAAAAACAATGAAATTTCTCGGCATGAATTGGCTGATGAACTCCCATATTCATTGTTTGGAAGCATGTATAAATTAAATAAAGTGGCTGGCTGCCGTAAGTTATTTTCAAATAGGCTGGAGCGATAGCAAAGGAAAGTGGATTTGTGAGTGAATGCAGAATTCAACTGTCGACATAAACTAGATTTGTTCACTTGACTGGTATTCTCTCCAAGCTTCTCGATCCTGTTTTTTTTTTGCAAAAATAAACAAGGTGTGTTCAAATTCTGATTTTGCAATAGAGGTCCACATATAATTGAGCTGTCATAGCTGGGATATATTATCAGGCTACCAGTAACCAAGGCTGGCGCTTGGCACACGATATTACCCAACAATATGCTGCTGTTTGTTGTTCAAGTTGCTATATTCGTCAAAATGCCTTTCTGCGAAGTTCTTGATAGTGGTGATTACACTGAGGGATCCAAAAAGGATTTCGTTCTTCTCATACACTAGAAGTTAGATTAATTCTACTGGCGTTACCACTATCCACTACCTGCGATGTCGTCACCAAAGCTTTTTAATGTATAGCGCCACGCTAAATACGACTTTATAAGGTTACCATACAGTCTTGCTTCTTTTGAAGAAGAAAGAGATAAAAAGAGGGTTTTTTTTATTTTAATTTTATGTTGTCAGTTTGATCAACAAAGATCACCTACCTCAAATATAATTATGATAAATTCGTATTTGCATTATTTCATTGGACAGCCTTACATGAATAGGAGAAGAAGAAGCACCAGTAGCATTAACCTATTTTTTGACGTAGTGTTGGCTTTTGGCTTTTAATTTTAAGGATTTGTGTGATTTCGCTCTTGTCATTTACTGAAGATATCAAATATGATAATATATTTATAAAAAAAAAAAAAAAAAGATTGATAAGAAAGCAAATGTTGTTTATTATTTTGTTAAAGGTGCACTTTTCTTAAGCTTGTAGTACATTCGCTTCAGACTGTTCCCACTACCATAGGAGACAGTTTTTCCCGTTTTCACTCCTTCTTCCCAGCATCTCTGTCATTGAAACTTTCCAGGATTTTCTTCTTTAAACTTATCAACAAACTCCACAAGCAGAGCATTGCTGTTGCTTGAACTGCTTCCATTAAGCTTGTGGTTTATGGAAAGCAGTTCGGTAGACTCTTTCATTGGTGAAGGTGGGCACTCGTCATCTGCTTCAGCCATGTTATCATACTTTCACTTTAAACAAGAGCAGTATTCAACGCCGTTCTCTACATACTTTAGAGCTTTTGTTATGTTTGGTGGGACTTGCTGAAGTTGTGCATGAATTTGAGTATTGATCGCTGTTCGCACCACATATTGTCTGTAGGGCCGCAATTGTGGTTTCTTTTTCCATAAGTAATGCCTTCAACGATATCACACGCATATCTGCACATCGCTTGTACTGTTGGATCTCTCTATCTCTCCACGTTGATCAGACGCCTCTGCTGTGAAATAAAGAAATGGCCAAATGCAACAAGTGGATCCAAGTTTGTTTCTTCATTTTCAATGAAAGGCGAAATGATATCACTCGATATAAAGTAACACTCCTTCGCCAGATGCTCGCAATTAATTTTTGACAGAAAGGGCTTTTCGTCATTTATCTTGAAATTACTGCTATATGATGTTGGCAATGCTTTTTCAATGCATATGGTAAGCATGACTTGAAGGGTTTTGAAGGAGCTGTACACGTCAGACAATAGCGTATCGCGCGTGCAATAAAATCTTTGTCGACAATGCGTTGCAATTCCACTATAATAGGATGACCATTATCATAATCTGCAAGGGCAAACATTGTATAAGGGCGGCAAGAGATAATGTCAGTTTGTGGACTTGATGCTCGGCAACACAAGTAAGTGAATAAAGGTACACACTGCGCACACGAGGAAATCCGCGAGGGTTAATGTTACAAACGCTACCTGTGATGTCGTCAACAAACCTTCTGAATGTGCAGCGTCAAGCTAAACTTGTTCAGAGAACAGACGTCTTTCCATGTTCCTTGGTATAGAATATGACTTTTATAAAGTTTCAAAAAGAAAGAGATAAAATGTGGTTATTGCTGTATTTTAATTTTTTTAGCTGTCAGTTTGATCAACAAAGAACTAAGGTCATTCAAAAGTAATTTTATATCAAAGGATATCCCGCTGGACAACTTTAGGCTAGGTTGATGCTTTGATAGCGTGAATTTGTATAGTGACATCGTAGGTAGTGTCCCAAGGAAGTGTCCGTAGCATTAGCTTTCTCGTGGATTTCCTCGTGCGCGTAGTGTTCACCTAAAATTAATGTTACGTACGTAGTTTTTTTCTTACATGCACACGAAAATGCTATGGAAACACCAGAATAGAAGGCTTTGTTTATTTGTATTAAATAATATTGTATTTTATGCCTTTTTTTATACAAGTTTGTTCATATAATGGTGACAGCTTTGGGCCAAATTAACTTTCTGTATCTCTTTCAACCTGTCAGGAACCAACATTGAATGTCGATCCGTCAAAGTAACATAATTGGTTCAAAGGTCTCATGTGACTCAGGTCAAAGTGGCAGGTACGGCGTATTGCCTGTTGTCTCAAAGTATACAGATACAAATCTATTATATGCAACTGTAACTAATTGAATACAATCAAAAGAACCGCGCCAACAATTAGGTAGAAGAACAGGGTTATAATTACTAAGGATTCTTTCAAAATTGATAATGCTTATTTTATCTCCAAACTTCAAGTTACTTTAGTATTTACTTTAAAAGATGATATTTTGTATGTATACCTTTGCATCATTCTTGCTTGTGCGAGTCAAATCACTCCTTCGTTTCTCGCTTAACTCTCAGGCGAATATAAGCTCAAATCAGCCAATCACAAAGAGAGGTATTCATGACGTTTTCCTGTGTATATAAGAAAAACAGGGTTTTTGCTATTTATAAAATATCATCCTTTGATCATACATAACTTCTTAGAGTTCTTCTTTTATATGGCACTTGTGCCTGTGCCTGACCAATTGTTACTCAACCCTTGTACCATGTATTTCCTTTCTCCATGTAGGCCCCACAGGCCGCTCTGTTTCTTTCTCTTCCAAATATTCCTCTCGACGAAGTAAGAACGTGATTGGCATCACCTCCAAGTGCCCTTGTTTGTTCAAGAACAGTCTCAGGACCTTGCGTTAGCTTTTGAAAGTGCCTCAAGAAAGTGAAAGTCAAGATTTTTTTAGAAGTGCTATGACTTATCACCTTTCTGTCATCAGCAAATGTCTGAACGCGTTTGTCTCGCAAAGACCAAGCAAGAAGTCAAAGAATCTCATCTCCCATCTTTCTGTTTTGGTCACGTCGTGATAGTTTGCCAGCTTATCAAGACGATTGTTGACCGCATCTATCGAACCTTTTAGTGCAAAATATTAGTTCATAGTATTGTCATTAACTCTGAAAACAATATACACATACTT